GTTAAATCCGCGAATTGTTTTGACGTCGGTCGTCATCGGGGCCTTAGTCTAAAGGTATCTGATAGAGACGAACTTGGGGAAGGCTTTCCAGTGTTGCGGAAACTTTCCGGTCGTAATTCTTGGAATTGTGGTTCAACGTTCAGGACATTAACTTTCATCATCCATGTCGTAATTTCGTTTCACACCACACACGCTACGAGCACTGCCTGCTCTTGACAGTGCATGAGGGATTCATCCAACGAGAGTGTGTGGCAGCCCGCCACACCGACTCGCTCCTACTATCATCCCTGATGCGGCGACGTGAAGGGTCGTGACCTTCAGCTTCAGTGCTACATCTACTAGTGGCACGAATGTTGGAGGTGTGAATGAGTTGTGACAGGTCTGGTTAGAGTAAGTACCGTATTTGTTTTGGTGTAGTTAAACCTCAGGAACTGGATTCAAATACCAAGGGTATTTACTTATTTATTTATTTATTTATTTATTTATTTATTTGTATATATACAAGAAGGTACACTGGGTTTGTGAGAATACATTGAATAGTACAGTATTTACAATCTTGTAAAGCCACTAGTACGCGCAGCGTTTCGGGCAGGTCCTTAATCTAACAGATAATTTTAAGTAGGTAATTTCTATCAGAATTGATAAATGATAACAAATATATTGCAAGAGAAAAATGAGATGAGAGAGCTTAGTAAGTATATTAAAGCACATTGTTATATTAAAGCTTTGATTGATTACATTGACAGCTTGATTGGTAATTTAAACAAGATTAATAGACACCATACAGCAGATTGACAGCACATATAAGACAGCAATGATCACAATGGTAAAGATGCTCAGATTGGGTGCATAAAGATTGGGAGACTGGGTAGCAATAGATACAGATAAACAAGATTAATAAACACCATACAGCAGATTGGCAGCACATATAAGAAGACAGCAATGATCACAATGGTAAAGATGTTCAAATTAGGAACATAAAGGTTGGGAGATTGGGTAGCAATAGATAGAGTGCAATTTTAAGGCAAAAGATGAAAAACTATGAAAATTAAATTAGGTACTTTTTAGTATTGATTTTAAATGATGTAAAAGTTGGACAGCTTTTCAATTCAATAGGGAGTGAGTTCCAAAAACTGGGTCCCTTTATTTGCATAGAGTGTTTACACAGATTAAGTTTAACTCTGGGGATATCAAAGAGATATTTACTTCTGGTGTGGTGATAATGGGTCCTATTACATCTGTCCAGGAAGAGTTTCAGAGCAGGATTTGCATTTAAGAACAGGGTTTTGTAAATGTAGTTGACACAAGAGAATTTATGGAGTGAGATTATGTTTAGCATATTTAGGGAGTTAAACAAGGGGGCTGAGTGTTGCCTGAAAGCAGAATTTGATATTATTCTGATTGCAGATTTTTGCTGCGTGATGATGGACTTGAGGTGGTTTGCAGTGGTTGAACCCCATGCACAGATACCATAGTTGAGATATGGATACATTAGTGCATAATATAGAGAGATGAGAGTAGAGTTAGGTACATAATATCTGATTTTGGAGAGTATACCAACTGTTTTAGAGACTTTCTTAGTTATGTGTTGTATGTGAGTACTAAAGTTGAGTCTCTTGTCTAGGAATAGGCCAAGAAACTTTCCATCATTTTTATTGCTAATGTTTACATTGTCTATCTGAAGCTGAATTGCATTTGTAGATATGCTTCCAAATAAGATGTAGTAGGTCTTTTCTATGTTAAGTGTTAGTTTGTTGGTTGACATCCATAAGTGGACTTGTCATAACATTGTCCATAAAGTACCTGCTATGTGATTTGTAAGTGTGGACGTGTGAGGTACACCAGGATTAACATCATTTACAAGTCGAGGGAAAGGGGCCCGACTGTGTGTGTGAAAGGACGTAAATTTGTGTGTATTACACTGGAAAACACATTTAGTGTGTCATTAAGACAATTCATCGTCGTCGAGTTGCAGTAATTATCTATTGTGGAGTACAGTGTAGTGTTTATTTATTCCATGCTCAACGTACCATATATATATGATCTCTTTTCAAAGGAAACCAGTTCCGGCAATGTAGTGTACTGTTAAGGTATCTTACTGGGAGATTTCATAGATTTCATAGCTAGCCCAATTGACTTCGCACTCTAACAGTCAGTCAAACTCTTCGACGGTAATTATTGCCAATTAACTTGAGCCAATAATTAGCCATCCCACAGATAATTCATCTAGAGCAAATTACATTAACACAAACTACTGTCGCCCTTCCGACAGTTCCTCTCCACTGTGTTATCTTGAGGTTATCTTGAGATGATTTCGGGGATTTTTAGTGTCCCCGCGGCCCGGTCCTCGACCAGGCCTCCACCCCCAGGAAGCAGCCCGTGACAGCTGACTAACACCCAGGTACCTATTTTACTGTTAGGTAACAGGGGCATAGGGGGAAAGAAACTCTGCCCATTGTTTCTCGCCGGCGCCTGGGATCGAACACAAGACCACAGGATCACAAGTCCAGCGTGCTGTCCTCTCGGCCGACCGGCTCCCCTGGATTGAAAATTGTGAAATTTCAATTATGCAATGCTAATGACACTAATTAGCTATAGTGATAAATTAGTTGTCTAACGGACAGGTCTAACGGACACAACACACACTTTATTAAAGTAATCACTGGCACAGATATATTACAGTAACACAACTATGAAATCTTAATAAAGTGTGTGTTGTGTGATTTTGGGCGGTGATTATATATCTTATCTCACTGTGGGGAGTGTGACACTCATTGGAGGAGGCTGCAGAGTGTACCTTGTAGGGTTACTTGTCAGTACGACAAGACCTTGGGTGTAACCATTATTTGTGGGACACATGAAGGATTCAGTGAGAGAAAATTGAGGGTAAATTAATTACACCAATAAAGTTAACACATTGCTTGACTGGAGGGACTGTCGTGTTGAGACAGTCTTGAGATTAACGTAATTCGTTGGGTGCAATTATCTGTCCGTTGGACAACTAATTTATCACTCTAGCTAATTAGTGTCATTAGCATTGCATAATTGAATTCACACAGTGGAGAGGAACTGCCGGAAGGGCGACAGTAGTTTGTGTTAATGTAATTTGCTCAAGATGAATTATCTGTGGGATGGCTAATTAGTGGCTCAAGTTAACTGGGGATAATTACCGTCCAAGAGTTTGACTGACTGTTAGAGGGCGAAGTCAATTGGGCTAGCATAATTCATTGGTTTAATTAGATCTCTTTGTGGGACAGTTGATTATGCACATAGGTTTATTATGGGTAATTAACACCTTGTGAATTCACAAGTGTATTGTTGACGCCTGCTCAGGCAGTGCGATAGAGTAACGTATAACGTGAAGTAATTAATTAACAATCCATGTGGCAGTTATACAATTGCTCAAGTTAATTAGTGTAATTAACATTCCCACTAACAGATAAATACATAGACTTGAGAGAAACGGTCGAGAGACTGACAGCGGGGTTAGCATAACTCATTGTGGTTTAATTACTGTCCTGTTGACAGTAATTAATAATTACTCACTGAATGCTAGATAGGTCAAATGTGATGTAATTAAGGACGAGCGAGTTAGCGTGTTGAGAGTTGAGTGTCTGAGAGACATGTTTGTGTTAACGTAACCAAATGGCTGGTGCCTGCTGTTGACAGTTACTTAACATAATTAATCATGGTTGATCAATTTGTGTAATTATTATTCTATTGTTTGATTAAGTCTTGAGAGACAAGTTTTAACGTAGAATTGACAGGTGGTTACTTGTGTTGTCATTTAACCTCTTAGTCGTTACAATCTCAGTGCAGGGGGCTGCACGAGTTGTCTTAGCAAGTTGTGATTATAGATTTATATTGCAGGAGGACTGCAAATAATATTGATAGAAATGTTGCGTCGTCAGTGAGCACTCTGAATTGTTCAAGTTAGATCAGTTCAGCCTCGCGGCAATTGACAGGAGTCATTGCTATACTTGGTTGCTGATTAGCTGTATTTAATGTGCCATTAAGAGACATTAACGTAACGTAAAATCGTTGTTGTAGTAATTTAGTCTTTGTTTTAATAAACTTGTTGATTGTTAGAAAATGGTCTTTATGTCAACCCTACAACATTAATGCTCCCACATTTTTTACTACAATGGTTCATGTGAAACGTTATATGAAGGTCTGCTTCTAGATTCGAACCTCGAACCTGATTCATAGAGCCACACATAAAAAATAATTGAAGTGTGAATCTGTGGGTTACCCTTACAAGTGCTAAGGCATATAAGGAGCCCGAGGACTCAGTGGATAAGGACTTCAACATCATTGAAGTCGTGGCGGTTGCTCCTGTCTTGCTATAGTCTCTTGCCTAAATTATAAGCGATTCTAAAGCAATCCTTTCTGTTTGAGGCCAACCTTCTAAGAGAGGTACATAGAAAAATCTCACAAGAAGAATTGCGTATTTATGTGCGGTGTGAGGAAGGCGGGAGTCGTCAGCAACACAACCAGAAATAAGGTGCATGTTGGACGTGGTGTATGAGAGCAGATTCAACAAGACGGCATGTGTGAAGAGTTGCCTCTTCTGTCAGTCAAAAGGCAGGAAAGATTCTCTTAGAAGAAAACGATAATATGGAATGATTAGTCCCTCAGCATATGATTTTTTCAGCTATGCCTGCGAGAGACCAGCGTTTTCCTTAATATAGCAATGTTTACTATGATGAACGAATCTGATCATAGTACCAAGATTGCAAGTCCTTGTTTATGGAACAAAGTTCGAGACATTTGACGCAGTCGGATCACAGCCGATTGGTTCTGGACTCAATTCCTGCAGCAGGGCAGTAGCGTTTGGGCAACGTTTCCTTCCAGCTGATGCCTTTATTCAATAAACAGTAATGGGACGTCGATTAACCTTTTAACAGACTTAATCTTTTCCCCAAAAAATCTTAACGACCAATTCTACATACACATTAGACTTTGTGTATTTGTTATTGAAAGATATATTTTTTTTGCAGGTAGTGATGTTGACCAACCACCCAAAGTCATCCAGACATCCGAATGTCCACGAGGTTACTCACGGTCTTCCGTACTTCAAGGAGAAGAATATGAACATGTTTGACGTCAGGAAAGACCTGACACATTTAGTGAAAGAGTTGCCAGCCATCGCCAGGGAAATGTATCACGTTCCAGCCGTGAAGGATCTCTACCGGAGAAGGAAAGAGTTTGACCTCATGTTAATCGACTTCTTGTTCAATGACGTGGGTGCATCTCTCGTGAACTTTGTGTTTAATTGATTAATTTACTTTATTATGCATCCCCATAGTATTCTCGAGGGTGACAGCGGACCACAATACACATTATGTGGGGATGTAGTTTACCCTCATACCCATCAAGTGCAATGTAGTGGACCTCATACCCATCATGTGAGCTGTAGAGTACCCCATACCCATAATGTGGGCTGCAGTAGACCCCATATTCATCATGTGGGCTGTAGTGGACCCCATACCAATCATGTGGGCTATAGTGGACTCCAAATTCATCCCGTAGGTTGTAGTGGACCCCATACACATTCCGTCGGCTAAGATAGAACCCATACCCATCCCTTCGGCTGTATTGGGCCCCATATCCACCCCATGCGCTGTACGTAACCCCATACCAATCCTGTCAGCTGTAGTGTACCCCATCTTCATCATGTGGGCGGCAATGGACCCCATACCCATCCCGTCGGCTGAAGTACACTCCATACATATTCCGTAGGCTGTAATGGACACGATTTCCATCCCGTGAGCTGTAGGGGACCCCAAAACGCATCCCGTGCGCTGTAGTGGACCCCATTTCCTTCTCGTCTGCTGAGGTGGACCCCATACCCTTCCCGTGCGCTATAGTGGACCCCATTTCCATCTCGTCGGCTGTAGTGGATCCCATACTCATCACGTGCATCGTAGTGAACCCCATACCCATCACATGCACTATAGTGGATCCCATACCCATCACATGCACTGTAGTGGACCCCATACCCATCCCGTGCTCTGAAGCTGACCCCTTACCCATCACGTGCGCTGTAGTGGACCGCATACCCATCACGTGCGCTGCAGTACACCCCATACCCATTATGTGCACTGTAGTGGACCGCATACCCATCACGTGCGCTGTAGTACACCCCATACCCATTACGTGCACTGTAGTGGACCCCATACCCATCACGTGCACTGTAGTGGACCGCATACCCATCACTTGCGCTGTAGTAGATTCCATACCCATCCCGTGCTCTGTAATTGACCCCTTACCCAACATGTGCACTGCAGTGGTCCCTGTCACGGTTGTGTCTTATTTTTGTCATCAATTGTGTTGTCATAGAGACCTGTCAAGAATTTGGTGGTGTTCGAAATCAGCGTTCGAAGACCTCGTCCAGCTCCTCGGAGGTTGGGTGCGTATCCAGGATACAGCACGCATTTCCCCTCTGAGCTGCGACACTGAGGCGCTGGAACAGGAAACTGGCTGCTCGTGGGTCTCTAGTTTTCCCAATGAGTTCCTCACCAACCTCCTTTAAAAACTTGAGTGCACATTTACCCCAGGCGCTCAGAGTCTCTGAGCCTATCGGCACGAACCTGTAACAACGTTCTAGGTCTCTGTACTTGTGGATTTTCTGGGTCTCCCTGAAGGTGCCTGCACCACCTCCCTCCGCTGAGCTGTAACGTAAATAGGTATCAGCCAATGTAGATGCACAGGTGTAATCCCATACGACCTGTTTACCTTCCCTCCATGGCTGCAGGGTGACTCGCTCTGGGCGAGGTCGAGGGAGGGGGTAGACGTACCGTGCGCGCTCCGTTAAAATCGTGACATTAACAGGGATTCTTAGGACTATTGCTGTCGATTACTGATTACAGACTTAACGAAGTGCATAGTGACCCGCTGGAAAATTGAAAATAGTCATTAACAATAGAACTTTGTGTTAAATAGAGAATAAACGGGAGACCGCGTGTGAGCCAGTGAACAGGCTTTGTGTACATGCGTGTATTAGAGAAAAAAAAATAGTGAACGGTGATTCGTGGAACAGTGATGTGGAACGGGTATCACAACAACATATAAGTTGGAAGTGAATATTATAAATATAGAATACTAGAAATATAGGATAGTGGCAAGAGGCGGCATCAGTGGTTATAAATCGGGTAACTGGAAACTGGTGACATCAACCTGGGCCACAAGAGGTCACCTGTACTGACCGGGGGACCAGCCTCGCTACCTACGCTAAGTACCTGCCATAAAGTTTGAACAAAATAACATACATAATATTACAAATATACGGTATACATATAATATTATAAATATTAAACATATAAATATATATACATATATATTGTTACAAATATACAATATACATATAATATTATAAATATATAGATATAAACAACAAAACAAGGCAAAATGGGAGTAAATAAACAAATTTGTGGCCACTGTAACAACTCCTTAAAGACGAAGGTAACGGGAATTGAATGTTATATCTGTAAGACTAGATTCCATTCGGCTTGTACAGGAGTAACACTACGGCACTGAGAGCTGGTCACTTGCTCTGGTTGTGTAAAAATGACCTGCCAGCTTGGAATATCCTAAAAAACCTTCTAGATAACAGGACGCATGATCGGAAAACATCATTCATTGGAAGCCTACCAGCCATCCAGAAGGAGTGGGAAAGGAACAACAATTCTAATATACAAGGGGCGGAGGCTATAGTCAAGGATGAAACTGAGGCTGAAACTCGGGAAGTTGTAAACTCTGACTCAGTAGGCCAGGATGTAGATGACAGTAAACTAGAAAGTGTAACAGACAGCACTGACAGCTCGATAGGTACAGACACTACGACGGTTCCCGATAGAGCAATTCAGAACAGAAGGACAGACTTATGCAAATTTTATGCAAAGGGCATATGCAGACATAGATATGCTGGTAATAAGAAAGGATTAGAATGCAGTTACCAACATCCCCAAAAATGTTTAAATATGCTTAGGAAAGGTGAGTGTCGATTTGGATAAATATGTAGGTTTTTCCATCCTGACATGTGCCAAACTTCACTGGAGGACAGAAAATGCTATGACCTCAACTGCCCACACTTTCACGTGAAAGGCACGGAACGCTACATAAAGAGTGGCAAGCAGGATAATGAATTTGGAGGAAACTCTAATTTTTTTATACTAGACCGGCAGAGAATTCAAAAGGAGCAGCATAGAGAGTGTATGGAACTGGATGCCAGATCCACTTGCATTCCAGAATTAGATACAATTACCCACCGAAAGGGAACTACAACTACGACAGACAACTGCCCTACAACAATCAGTACTGGTCAGAACAAACTCATTGTGTTCACGAATAATGGGCTTGCCGAAAAAGTCTCCCATTCAAACTATCACTAATAGAGTAACCTCATTCATCTTTGCCAACATACAAGTTGATTTTATACCCGCACTGGGTCAGGTGATAATACAATAAAGGTGAAAACATGGGGGGATACATAAGGGATAAATGTGAGGTGAAGCATAGAGGCTGCAGAAGGCTTATTGGCCCATACGAGGCAGCTCCTATCTAAACACAAAGATTAATCCAGTGTAATTGGCCTATTATGTTGGACATTGTCTTCTGTGTTGGCATCGATATGTTCTTGTCTTGTCCTTACTCTCATGGTGGGTAGAGTAAATAGTTCCGTGATTTGGGTGTTCATGGTAGGTCGCTCTATTCTTATGTGATTTGCCTCAAGAATTTGTAATCTTCTTGCATCTTGGGTTTTGTCTATTATGCAGGTATTATTGTTCAACATTTCTCTTGTTAGAGTAATGTCATGGGCTTGTCTCATGTGATTCCTAGGGGCACCAGATTGAAGATGGCATGTCAAACGACTCGTCAGCTTGGTCAACGTCATACCTATGTACTTAGATTGAAGGTTACATCCTTCGTGGGGGCAAGTGTACATGTATACAACGCTTGACTGCTGTAGAGGGTTCTCCGTCGGCTTCGGGCTGTTTTTGATAAGGAGTTTGGAAGTCTTCTTGGTTTTGTAGAATATTATCAGGTTTATGTTTGGTTAGGAGTAGTGCTTTTTACTCCTTTACGGATTATTTTTTTCATTATTCTTTCCTCTTTTATATGTTCACTGTGCATGGTTGATTTGTAATATAATTTTATTGGGGGTGTTGTGGTTTCTGTTCTAGGTTCTGAATTATACCAACGGTCCAAGTGTCTTATAGCAGCGTTTATTTCCGCGTTGCTATATCCGTTGTTCACCAATACCTGAGTTACTCTTTCAAACTCTCTACTCACGTTGTTCCATTCAGAGCAGTGGGTAAGCGCTCGACGAATATAAGCATTGAGAACACTGGCTTTGTATCTTTGAAGATACAAAGATATAAAGGATATAATATATACAAGAATATAAATCTGTTCACTTGAGAATGAACCATGGAGGTTCGAAACGTTGTGCAAATTATATAAATAAGTGTAATACACTCTATAGTAAATCACTTCTTTTCTTCACCTTAAAAGTACGAAAATGAGTTTTGGAGAACTCCTATTTCAATTAAGCCCTGATGCTAAGAAAATAGTTAGAGGGATAGAAGCCCTAAACCAGAAAATAATAAATACAGAATGCAGTCATATTCAATGAAACATGTTTGAAAGAAAACCTGCTGCCAGTATACACCAATATATATATATATATATATATATATATATATATATATATATATATATATATATATATATATATATATATATATATATATATATATATATATGTCGTACCTAGTAGCCAGAACGCACTTCTCGGCCTACTATGCAAGGCCCGATTTGCCTAATAAGCCAAGTTTTCCTGAATTAATATATTTTCTCTAATTTTTTTCTTATGTAATGATAAAGCTACCCATTTCATTATGTATGAGGTCAATTTTTTTTTATTGGAGTTAAAATTAATTCCATAGACACACTTACATTCCAAATTATATTTATTTGAACAGCAGAACCTTGATTTTTCGCTGTACGTTACATTGTGGGTGTGTTATAAGGACTAAAAGCTGGGACACGGTACTAATTATTATTGGTGTTGGATGTAGAGGCCATGAGAGATTGTCTAGGCACGCATACATTTCAAATGCTATTTATTTGGAGAGCAGAAAGTTTATTTTCCGCGTTACTTTACATTCAATGCGTTACAAGAACTGAAAAATAGTCACACAGTAATAGAATGATGTTTGCATGTTGGTCCCGTTATGAT